CATATATGCCTGGTTGATCCATGATGTCCACTTTATCTTTATTCTTGATGAAAAAGTTACTAATTGAGTTGGAGGATTTAAAAGAAATTTTGAAGTGATTTTTGAGGATATTGGAGACTTTATAAGAAATATTTCCAATATAGGTAAGTGACATATACTTACTAATGCTAGCCTCTACAGGTATAGGGTTAGTTATAAATGTTGTATTTTGAATAATTCTATTTTGTTTTTTACTTAACATTTTATCGATTAAACTGTGATTATAATTGTGTAGATGAGCTATGTTTTTTATTGTGTTAAGTTCTCTATTGTAGTTTTCAATGGATAAAGGTACTCGTAATAGACGTTCTAAATAACAATTAAAGGAAGCTAATTTATGCGAGATGGGGTGATTAGACAAATTATCTATTACTACTCCTGTATGAGTGGGTTTTCTATAGATATCAAAACTTAATTTAGAGTCATTGTTATGGGATATTTTTAAATCTAAAAAGTTTATAGATTTATCTACTTCGGTTTCTAAAGTAAACTTAATGTTGGTATGTAGAGAGTTAACATGAGACAAGAAATCATTCAATGAGTCCTTGCTACCAGTCCATAGTATTAGAATATCATCCACATATCTATAGTAAAATTTGATTGATTGGTAAAAATTATTGTTATCTAAGATATTGTCTTTTTCAAAGTTATGCATAAATATGTCTGCCAATATGGGACTCAAAGGGGAACCCATAGCTAAACCAGTTTTTTGTGAAAAAATTTCTCCATTGAACACAAAGAAATTTTGATCTAAGCAAATTTTAAGTAGATTAGTGAATTCAATTAGTTCTAAATCTGATAAAGTAGAATTTGACAAAAAAGAATTAATCAAAGACAAGACTTCTGGAATAGGGATGTTAGTAAAAAGGTTCGACACATCTAATGAGATTAACAAATCGGTCTCGTTGATATGAGTATCCTTGATATTATCTATTAACAATAGGCTATTTTTTACTGTGTGTGTAAAATGATCTTTATAATAACCTTTGAGTGAATCATTAAGCCATTTAGCTGTGAGGTAAGTTGGTGAATTCACGAATGATACTACTGGACGTATGGGCATATCTTTAAAATCATCTGATTTATGTATTTTTAGAAGACCATATAAACGTGGTATTAACTTATGATCTGGTTTAAATCTGTTAAATAAAGACTCTGTTATCAAGGATTTACTATTTTTGAGAACATTTTTAAATTTAAAATTATATTTATTGAGAGGGTTAGTAATTTTTTCAAAATCGTTATTATCAAGAAAAGTATATATTTTAGAAAGGTAACCAAATTTATTTAAAATCACTAAACAATTACCCTTATCTGCTTTAGTAAAGATTAGATCGTTATCTTTGATCTTTTTAGAAATGTTTTTTATCAACTTGTCATTAGAAGTGTCTGTACCAAGTTTACTACCTTGGAAAACAAAGAAGAATTGAGAATCAGTTTAATCAACGTTTTTAAAAAAGAAAAAGAATCATTACTTAAAACTAGTAAACTTGGTACAGACACTTCTAATGACAAGTTGATAAAAAACATTTCTAAAAAGATCAAAGATAACGATCTAATCTTTACTAAAGCAGATAAGGGTAATTGTTTAGTGATTTTAAATAAATTTGATTACCTTTCTAAAATATATACTTTTCTTGATAATAACGATTTTGAAAAAATTACTAACCCTCTCAATAAATATAATTTTAAATTTAAAAATGTTCTCAAAAATAGTAAATCCTTGATAACAGAGTCTTTATTTAACAGATTTAAACCAGATCATAAGTTAATACCACGTTTATATGGTCTTCTAAAAATACATAAATCAGATGATTTTAAAGATATGCCCATACGTCCAGTAGTATCATTCGTGAATTCACCAACTTACCTCACAGCTAAATGGCTTAATAATTCACTCAAAGGTTATTATAAAGATCATTTTACACACACAGTAAAAAATAGCCTATTGTTAATAGATAATATCAAGGATACTCATATCAACGAGACCGATTTGTTAATCTCATTAGATGTGTCGAACCTTTTTACTAACATCCCTATTCCAGAAGTCTTGTCTTTGATTAATTCTTTTTTGTCAAATTCTACTTTATCAGATTTAGAACTAATTGAATTCACTAATCTACTTAAAATTTGCTTAGATCAAAATTTCTTTGTGTTCAATGGAGAAATTTTTTCACAAAAAACTGGTTTAGCTATGGGTTCCCCTTTGAGTCCCATATTGGCAGACATATTTATGCATAACTTTGAAAAAGACAATATTTTAGATAACAATAATTTTTACCAATCAATCAAATTTTACTATAGATATGTGGATGATATTCTAATACTATGGACTGGTAGCAAGGACTCATTGAATGATTTCTTGTCTCATGTTAACTCTCTACATACCAACATTAAGTTTACTTTAGAAACCGAAGTAGATAAATCTATAAACTTTTTAGATTTAAAAATATCCCATAACAATGACTCCAAATTAAGTTTTGATATCTATAGAAAACCCACTCATACAGGAGTAGTAATAGATAATTTGTCTAATCACCCCATCTCGCATAAATTAGCTTCCTTTAATTGTTATTTAGAACGTCTATTACGAGTACCTTTATCCATTGAAAACTACAATAGAGAACTTAACACAATAAAAAACAGCTCATCTACACAATTATGATCACAGTTTAATCGATAAAATGTTGAGTAAAAAACAAAATAGAATTATTCAAAATACAGCATTTATAACTAACCCTATACCTGTAGAGGCTAGCATTAGTAAGTATATGTCACTTACCTATATTGGAAATATTTCTTATAAAGTCTCCAATATCCTCAAAAATCACTTCAAAATTTCTTTTAAATCCTCCAGCTCAATTAGTAACTTTTTCATCAAGAATAAAGATAAAGTGGACATCATGGATCAACCAGGCATATATTAACTCAGTTGTAAGTCTTGCCCAGCCAAATATGTAGGTAGAACCTTTCGTAATTTTAGGACTAGACTTAAAGAACATTTAAGATGTTTGAATACTGCCACAACCGGCTTCTCACATTTTGCCACCCATCTAGTAGAGTCCAATCATGATTTTGACTCAGGGGATGGCTTTAGGGTACTCCATATTTGCCACAACAAGTTGATATTAAATAATTTGGAGAACCTAGAAATATTTAGATTAAGAAAAAGTAACAATGCATTATCACTAAACTCACAAGTTTTTTCCGAATCCACACCCACGTTCTCAGTTCTTTTTTAAAAAATCTACGTTTTCCTTAAATTACCCCCCCCTTTTTACTTTAAAATTTCCCTATGAAATTATTAGTTATACTTATCTTATTCCTTATTTTTATTCTGTCTCTTTTTCCATTTTCATTTTTCAGCACATTACTTCAAAAAAATAATTAACCAAATCAATAGTTTTCTCTCTTTTCATTTTAACACCGTTTCCTTTTCCGTTGATTGTTACCAACTCCTTAATTTGAATATTAGTACATCTAAAATTATTTTCCAACGCTAATGCTCTTTTAACAATAATAATTTATTTATTTCATTTTGTTTATTACGTACAAATTCAAACAATTCAGTTTATAAACTATATTATTATTAAGAAACATTTATTTTTTCGCCAACGCCATCTATTAGCCGATGGTCAAAATATTTAAATTTGACAACCTCTAAAACTGTTATCTTAAATATTAGAATGGTTAATTCGTCTATTTATATCTTGAGGGCGTTAATCAGTTATTAATCTAAATAAAATTTAATTCCTGTAGAATTATAAACACTTGTCCAAGAACCCATTTTAGTGCTTGTAGGGTTTTTTAAAAAGTTTTTAAATTTGTTTGTCTTAATTGTTCGTCCGTTCGTGAAATATTTTAATAATTTTATTAATAGTTTTAGACCTACTTTTGTTTATGTGTTTTGACATCAACTTTTGGTTGCAACTATTGTTTTTATATTTTTTATGTATTTTAAAAAATACTCGCATACTTGTTTTTACACCGACCCTGGGATAATTCTATTAGCTTAGTCTTAAATAGATGAGTTATTACGGGTGAGTTCTTGATATTTGACAACTTTCATATTAAAATGTTTAAACCCACTTATTAGTTATGAGCTCATTCGTTTTTCCTCTCTATTTTTAGACCTTACCTGATGATGAGGATTTGATCCTCGAAACCGGTCGTAATAAAATACTCTTGTGAGATCCTAAGGACCACCTTTGTTTGATTTACCTTTTTGAACTTATAACTCACACATGGCTACCACCTTCAACTTTAACATAATAACATGTCTTGAAGTAAAACTTTAATTATTTTTTTTTTCTAAAGATTAAAATGCTCAAATTTTATTTTAAAACACATTTGGGCTAGAACGGCTCTATTTAGTGAGCACTAGGAAAGGCACATTGCAACCCGCTTTTCATAATTTTTTTATGGATGGGTGAGCAATCTATAATATCTATCATTGGACATCTCATAAACGTCAATGGATGAATGACATTTCGACATAAAGCTAAAAATATTTATTATTATCAATCTTTTTTATTAATTTACATTTTTTAAATGTTATTGTAATACTTTTAAATTCAGTGTCACTAAATACCGATATTTTTACATTGGATACACTTGTTTAAGGTACAACTTTACAATTTATTTTCACTTAGCTATTTAAATCTTTTTGCTTAAAATGTATATACATGTCCAGATTTTAATAATGTTTCACATTTTACGTCATTTTGACCATGTACACGATTGTTTGGTACGGGCCGGTATCTATTTTTAACTATATTTAATATTTAAAAAAATATCCTTTATTATTTACTTGCAATGTTTACCCCATTTAATTCTAAAATTAAACACTAGAGAGGGCTAATTTCGGCAGTAGTACTGCCTCTATATTTCACGCACGGTCCCTATGTCAAACAAAAATCTAAAATTGGTTAAAAAAAGTAAATGTACTATGTCCTATGGTGAATGATAGAAAAATGCACAAATATACCATGTCCCACACTTGATTACTCTAAGAGGGATTTCGTGCTATGTCCGGACATAGTTCTTAAGTGCACTTCGTTTTATGAATCAGTTGAGGTTATAAAAGTGTAAATTGTCACATTATGTTTAATGTTTTTGTTAAGTTTTAACTACATACAATACTTAAATATTTCAATTGTTGAACTTAAGTTTAATTAAGTCATTATTTTTACAAACTCGTTTAAAATGAATCGTGGCAAATTAATGGTAGAGCTTTGTAATCGGATTAAGACGATTGACAAACATAGCTCGAACAGTTTTTCTAAAGGTAAGTTTTTAACGCATATATTAATTATGGTTAGTTTTGTTTATAATTTAAGTAGGTAGTTTTCTGAATAATTGTACTTACATCTACTTTATTTTTTAGAAAGAACCGTTGTTGACTTCCCTTTGAGAATCGATCAGCCGAACGAAATAGAAAATATTCATGAGTTTATTGAGGAAACTGAGGAAGTTTTTAAGGGTAAAAATTTTGCAGCAATTAATATTTATCTTGTGTTGCATTAAGTTAAATAGAAACATGAAGGTTTTCTGTTTTATTTCAATTTTAGAAAAAACCGTTACTCATACTACCGAACGTCCCAATGAAAATTACATTGTTATCGCAGTGAATGATCTTGAGACAGTTGCCCAGGAAGATTGCGTTGATCATGAACAACATGAAGGTGAGTAACAATTTTAAAGATTTTAAAGATGGACAGCTATATTTTGATTGTTTATTTTAGAGATAATTATCGACAATGGTTCTAATTTGTTTGCCTTAAAAGAAGATAACATTAATATTATCATCTATAATGTCCAAGACAGTACAGGTAGGTACTGAAACTGTGTTTGTTTGCTGTAGCTCTCATTGTTTGTTTTATAATTCACTGACTTTTGGATTTACATGATTTTAGAAATTAACAACGAAAAGAGTTTTGAAACTAACGACGAAGAAAGGCGTGATTCCACGTACATTCTCCAGAACAATGACACAGATTCCACAAGTAGTGACCAAGAACCCCAAAGCTTTGCAGGTGAGGCTATATAGAATTTCATATTATTAATAAACAAAATGAGGAAAGTCCGACCTTGGGAATAAAGGGCAGTACATTTTCCTGACTATTGTTATTTGGACTTTCTGTCAAGTGACTACTTAACAGGCGAAACTTGTATTACAGATAATATTGGAAATAAAGGGGCAGAATAAACAGCTTCCCCTGTCCCGAATAGTGACAATGAGGAAATCACTTCAACAGCTAAACGAAAGAGGAGTAGGTTCGCAAACCCAAGTACTTGGGAGAGGAACATTCGAAAACAGAAAAGGCTCGCTGGAGAAAGCTACATTGATAGAAAAGGTCGTGAAATTTCCGAAAAAGTGGTAAACCTGGTAGACTGCCAATGTCGGTTTAAATGTAGGGATGCAATCACGGTTGCACAACAAAAATCGCTGTTTCAGGAGTATTGGAGTTTTGGGAGTACAGTACGTCAAAAGGATTTTTTGTGTTCCCTCATTGAAGAAACCGCTATAGCCAGGAAGAGAAAAAGATCTGAAGATTCAGGTATTGATAAAACTGTGAGCAGATCTTACAAGCTATCAAATGGAAACAGTGAAACTATTCGAGTATGCCAAAAATTTTTTTGCACTTTTGCTATCTCAAAAAGAATCCCAACCGACGCACTGCTTCACAAAAGTATAAACGGAACCTATAGAGGGCAGGATAAAAGAAAAGGGAGGCCAGCGACTAATGTCACTCCTCATAAAAAAGTGCGGGAAATTCAAGCGATCCTTGCTGCATTTCCCAAAGTTCCTTCCCACTACTGCCGCCAGCGAAGTTCCAGATTATACCTTTCACCAGACCTCTTAATTGAAAAACTCTATACACTCTATAAAGATAAATGTGGGCCAGAGGCTGTAAATCTTAATGTCTTTCGACGATTATTCAAAGAGCATGATCCACCACTAGCAATTTTCAAGCCTAAGAAAGACCAGTGTTCCATTTGCAATGAAGCAGAACGTTTAAATTCTAAAGGCACAGATATAAAATACCAAGAGTATGTAAGGCAAGAAGATGCAATCAAAGCCATGAAAGAAAACGATAAAAAAGCATCTAAGAATGATTCAAAAATTAGCTACGGTACCTTCGATCTACAGGCAGTGTTAACTCTACCGTATGCTGGTGATTGCCAAATTTACTATAAAAGGAAGCTGTCCCTTTTCAACTTCACTGTCTTCGACTTCCGGGAAGACGGACATTGCTTTTTATGGGATGAAACCAACGGAAAGAAAGGCAGTGCAGAAATAGCGACCTGTTTATTAAAATATATTGGCACGTTAAATCCGTCTATAGAACACTTGGTATTGTATGCCGATACTTGTGGCGGGCAAAATAGAAATCAAAATGTCCTCGCAAGCATGTTCTTTGCTGTGAACAGAAGAAGTAATCCACAAATCATTGACTTAAAATTCATGGAAAGTGGGCACAGCTATCTCGAAGCAGACAGCATTCATGCAACCATAGAAAGAGCTAGCAAGGCAAAAAAGTTGTACTCACCTAATGAGTATAAACTTTTAATTGAAACGAGTAGGAAAAAACCATTTCCCTATATTGTACATCACCTCACGTACAATGAATTTTATGATGTTGAATCTTTAAATAAAACTATTGTGAAAAACAAAAATAAATCAACAACTGGAGAGAAACTTAATTGGTTAAAAGTAAAATGGTTTAGATTCCAAAAAAATTCCAAAGTAATTGGTTACAAATACGATATTCAAGAAAAATTCAAATTTTTTGAAGTCAACCCCTCCGAAATTAATTCGGAAAACATAATTCTTGAAAGCAAATATAAAAACCATCACGAAATCTCTACCGCCAAAAAAAGAGATTTGATTAGCTTACTCAAGCAAGGTGTTATACCCCAAGAGTACGCAGCATTTTATAATAACCTACCATCCTCCAGAGGTATTCGAGACGTCGCAGTGTGGAGTCACGATCAGGAAATCGAAAATGATGTAGATGAAATTGATATTTAATTAAAAAATGGAAGTATTTTAATTTTTTTTTAAATAAATAATTATATACCTAGCTATTTTTTTTGTTAACCTTGGAATCCAGAGCAATAATCATTTTTTGTTTTGTAATGAAGTTTAGTAAGTTAAATAAATACTAAATTGTGTCCCATGTCCAGTTTGATCACCTGATGTCCAGCTCAAAGGTGCTATGTCCTTATAATGTATTATAATACCATGAATAAATCAAAAAATTGTTTATTAATTAGAAAAGTTTTTTTTGTATTATTTTTACATAGGTAACAAACCATAAAATTAGTAAATATCAAAAGACATTGAGCTGCATTACTAGAGTTATGCACGTATCAAAACTTTACTTTGAGTTTTCCAAAAGTAGTGAGGAACGGACATAGCTTATTTGTAATATTTCCAAATTGTTTCAATCTATTTTATGTGACTATTTATACGTCGATTTCAAAAACTTATCAACATTAAACAACATGCTTTTATGAAAAAACATCCATAGATAGTGATTTATTTCTTTACTCGCAGTACTTGTTGTATAATATTAACAAGGGCTATGAGATGCTATTTATACTGACTTTAGTAAGGTATTTGATAAAATTGATCACAATATAATAATCAGAAAACTTGCAGGAGTTGGTATTCATGGTAGCTTGCTGAAATGGGTCATCATATATTAGTAACTCAATCTGTTAATGTAGGCCTGTACAGTTGTGCTTTCACGGAAATCTCGTCAGGTATTCCACAGGGTTTTCATTTGGGACTCATATTGTTTAACATTTATATAAATGATTTTAAAAACTGTTTCAACGTTTCAATTTTTTTAATGTATGCCTATGACCTGAAACTGTTCCATAGTGTAACAAATCCTTGAGACTGCTTATTAATACAAAATAATCTCAATAACCTATTTTTTATTGTACCCATAATTGTATCTACCTTGACATTAATAAATGCTATGCTATTTCTCTAGAAACAAAAACGTTTTTTTTTTGCCTAATTATTATTTTAATAACAACCCACTCAATAGAGTATCTCTTATCAAAGATCTCGGCATATTATATGACTATAGTAGTTTGTGCAACAATAGTGGTATGATGGCCATATCGTACGAAGACGAAATTTGAGCAAGACGCCGTAGGCGGAGTGCTCATTCGTCTGAGTGCGATGTAGAAAATCCACTCGAGTTGTACAGTATATTTTTTCAACGACCAACTAACGAAAATTTACAAATAAAAAAAAAATTTAGGTTATTGAGACAAAATAAGTAATTTTAAAATAATTTATGACTTCTAATAATTTTTAAAATAATATAAACGAAAAAAAAAAAAGAAAAAAGTTTATTTCATTTTTCCCCATCTGAGAATCGAACTCGAGTCTTCCGTGTGGAAGGCAAGAACGCTTGCTACAGGACCACCTATTCTTTTAATTTTGTTGCTTTAATACTCGTAATTAAATTGACTTCATATATTTTTAGTTAAATTAACAAATTATTTATAATCATAGACGAAATAAAAACAGAAATGCTATTATTTATCGATTCTATACAAGAATAACCCATTTTAATGTATGTTTAATCTCAAAAACTAAAAATTATACTGATAATTAGTATGATAGAATTGTCACTTATTTAAAATTTTAAAAATAATAGCAGTCAGTTGATCAAAATATGAACGGTGATTGGTGGATTTCATTTTTTGCAGTGTTCTTACTACCTAGAATGGATATGAAATATATTCGTTCAGTTGAAGGCAATAGCATACTTTTTCGTTTTGTAATCTGTGCGTAGATAAGCTAATATTCATGTGGGTGCAGAAAAAATTATTATTTAAACATCATGTTAACTATATTACCGTAAAAGCGCACAAAATTCTCGGCTTTATTATTAGAACTTGTAAAGATTTTAAAAAACCAGAAGTGAAGTTCGGAAAACATTACACTAGCACTTTTACGGTACTTACCCTGAAAGTTGCTCTGAAACGTTCTATAGATCTTATATTGTGAAATAGTTCTACAGCATTATACAGTGTGTCCACGGATGGACTTAACTATACTTGTGAAAATATTTATTTTAAATTAAAGAAGTAAGTCTTCATAATTTCTTTTACTTGTTAAATAAATTCGATTCACATTGAGAAATTATGAAAAATAATTTTTAATTTAAAATAAATATTTTTAAAAGTATAATTAAGTCCATCCGTGGACACACTATATTGTTCTTTGTGTAATGTAATACAGAGAGGTTATATTAAAATCTCAATCGAGACATGGAAATTTCAAATAAAACAAAATATATAAATTTATTATTAAAATGATCTTGAAATCAAGTAGAAATATCACAAAAGTAGAGGTAGGTGTATCACAAGAGCAGTTACACAAGTGAGATAACAGAAGCCACCTATAAAGCACTGAACGAATGGACAAACTTAGCTTAATAGTATAATAAGGTATCAATAATGCAAAGTTTAACAGTGAACGATTGTACAAAAGTATATTTATATAAGGTACGTTTCAAGATGACAATTGTATGATACTAAAACTAGATCTACGGTGAATATTAAATAGATGATTGCAACAATGACTAGGTATATGGTATACGATATAGCTGAGTTCCCTAATTTCTTACCTGTAGACGCAGAGATATATCATCTTTTTTAAATCAAGCCTTTTAACTGAGTTTTTATAGATATGTATATATTTTTATTTTGTTAGTTTATTATTTATGTAAAGGTAAACAAAAATTATTTTATTGTAACTACATGTGGCTTGGAAATATTTTTATTTATGCTATGATGTAAGAAATATATCATCATATTGGTAGTGGAAAGAGCTAAGCCACACATTTATTAATTGGGGAAAATGGGTAAATAAGTTTGTAACTCTTAGGTTAAAACAACTTTTGATTTAAGTCTTAAATTTTTATTCACTAAATATGATAACATTTGGTACAAACGGAAACATGTCCTTCATTTTAAGACTGATTTAAAAACGAAAAAAAAAAAGAAGTATGTTGCTTAAAAATACTTTACCACTGAAAAAGATATATGTATTTTCAACTAGCTTCTTTCAGGTTGTGGAATTTTAAGGTTATAATTATATAATCGCTTATCTCTCTTCATCACTGTATTTTTTAGAATTGTCTTATTTATGTGATATAATTAACTCATTTTGCTTAAAAATGTGGCTTACTCTTTTCACCACCAATACGAAGATATGAAAATTTAATAGAAGATGATAAATTATATTTTTATATAAAAAGATTTTACTTTTCCACAACTTATTGAATAAAAAAGAGATTGACCTACTTGTTTAACTATTATTAAAGGAAATGATATAGAAATTACAAAATACGCTCATGTTTAAAGCTGGATTTATAAACTACGTTTAGTTGGCGCTCAGTTCAAGTTGACAAGACATAACCACAAATTCCACAAAATAAATTATATTTTGTTGTTATTTTTGTTTTAATTATATTTGTAGATGGTGTTGGTCATAAAAAAATTATAAAGCCGTTATAATTTCTTATCCAAAACATACTTACCGTGTCATTCTGCTTTGTTTATGTTGAACTCAAACTGAGCGTGAACTGAACATGAACTAAACGTAGTTTATAAATCCAGCTTTAATTATTGCACTTATTTTTAGATAATTTTGTCTTACTTTGTTGTTTTAAATAAAACAACCAAAGTTAGTGTAATGAAATGTTTTTGAAATTTACAAATTTTATGCTTGATTATGGATTTCCAAGGTAGGTATGCATATTTTATAAAAAACAACTCATGTTTTTTATCAAGATATTCTGATGTATCTTCTGTAATTTCTCTCAACTTTTCTTCTAGGTTTGTACTTGAACTGATGATTAGAGTTCCAGGCACAACAGGCCTGTTGATGATAATTATGTGCCAGTATCTAGCTGTAGATTAAATATATATAAATGAATCCCTATTTCCCTTGGTTATGGCATCACGCGTGAACGGCTGGACCAATTTCGCTAATTCTTTATTTTGTTGTGTTTCTTATTGTCAGGAGAAGGTTCTTATGAAAGAAAAAAAAATAAGAAAATTGCGCGGAAAATTAGAAAATTTCTATATATATATATATATATATATATATATATATATAAAAATGATTCCCTATTTCCCTGTTTTGTTGTGTTTCTTATTGGCAGGAGAAGGTTCTTATAAAAGAAAAAATTAAGAAAATTGCGCAAAAAATTAGAAAATCTCTATATATATATAAATGATTCCCTATTTCCCTTGGTCACGGCAGCACGCGTGAACGGCTGGACCGATTTTGCTAATTGTTTTTTTGTTGTGTTTGCATTAGAATAATGAACACTTTGTTTTTAAAATATTTTTTTAGTTAATTATACCAATTCGAAATCAATATTCATAGTTAAGACAGCACAAAGTCTGTCGGATCCGCTAGTCTTTTAAAATAATCATGATATACTTTTATTGTGCGAAATCGATAAATTCCACAAAAGTGTTAAGGCTTTGAGAGTGAGTCGTTTTGACTTCAAAAAGTTTTCCACTTTTATACTTGCATGCTGGGTTGAAATTTAAAACTTCGTAATTCAACATATATTTTCTATGACATATTCCTCGTTGGGAACAGGTACAGCAAAATTATGAGGCTATATAAAATATAATTTTAATGAAATATGACGTTACATTATACCAGACTCGTAAAGTGTGTGAAATGGCTTTTGATAGTTGTAAACCTCGGCTATAAAAAGGTTGAAGTTTTTGGAGAGTTGTATAAACGTCTATTTTCAACACTTAATGGTGTGTGAATTTAATTGTTCATGAAATATTTTGAAAAACATAAATAACAATTTCTGAATTAATAGGAAAATCTTCATACAATATTTAAGTAAAATTTATACATTTTTTTATCTTTAAAATACAGCGGGTAGTGATTTTTATTAACCATCAGCATCAATAAAGAATTATTTGTTTTTATTAATATGCTTTTACAGTCTACTGGTGAGAGCAAAG